GGTTTTTTTTGGGTTTGCTTTTTGTCTTAAGTTTTTCTCCTCCACTTCAGCCAATGCCAGCCTTCTTGCATCCTCAAGATGAGCTGTCCATAAATGGGTTTAAAATAATTTAGTAGTTCGAAGTATTGTAGAAGACCTTTAGAACCATGTCATCAAGGGATGGGATGTGAAAGCAGAAATATATGCCATGCAGGATAGGTTAGTTTTCCTTAACAGTAATTGAAACCATCCTCAAGGTATAATTGGCTGAAGAAAGTAAGGCTCAGATCACTGACACAGCTTTATGGTAACCTAAGTAAAATACCAGTCCAGGAGGCAGGAATGGCTCTCCTCCTACTGGTTTCTGGCTGGGTTACCAGCATGGACAGTCTAAAGTCTGGGAAGTTTCCCTCAACTCAATCCTTTGCTAAATATCCTTTGTCTTCTGTGGCTAAGTAAACCTGTTAACTGTTAGATGACCTACAAGTCTCTCATTTCATTCCAATTTGAACTTGAAGCATCAGACTGGCCTGAAACAGGCCCAGTCTACAACAGATGGTGAGTTCTTCCAGATGCTCCTATTCACAAATGACTCTGTGCTGACAGCATTAAGCACCAGAATACTGCAGGACCTCCTGGAGTTTGGCCTGGTCATTTACATAGGAAAGACCAAGTGGACAAAATCTCTATTGTTCAGATTTCAAAACACATTTAGATGGATATTCCATTGACTATGTTCAAGACTATGTATGTCTAGGACATATAGTACATTTGGATGACTAATTGAACTCAGGGGAAAAGAAGGAGAACAGGACAGATTGCCTTCAGGAAAATATAAGCTCCTTAATAACCATAAACTTCCCATGAAAGCAAAGGCCAATTTAAAAAAATATCAACATTGAACAACATGGAATACAAAAATATTTAAAGTATTAAAAATGAGTATTGCATAGAGGCCAATGGAAAAGTACATGGTGAATGTGAATAGGCTATGACATATACAAGCATCAAGGAACCCTAGAGAATTGGAATAAAAAATGTTATCAAGGAATAGAATGATGTGACATGACAAGAAGCTGGAACGAAAGGACAGCCTAAGAGTTCTGCCGGCAGTCTTATAATGTCAGGAGAAGGTGAGGAGGAAGGTTCACTTATTTTTGATACAACGTCATTTGGTGCATATATATTAATTCCCTGTCTATGGTATCCTTAAGCAAAATGGAATTCAATGTTTCTCTTTTTAATCAAATCCATTTTTACTGTTGCTTGATCTGGGATGATGATTGCTACTTTCGCTTTTCTGAGTTCATCTGAAGCATAACTGATTTTGCTTCATCCTCCCTTATTTTAACTCTGTGTGGAGATTTCTGTTTTAAGTGTTTCCTATGAACAATATACCCTCTTCAGTTTTATGTGTGCATTCATCCTATTCACACTCACAGTTATGATTAACTGGGTATTTTCCCCTATATGCTTTTTTGTCCCTTCTTGCCCATTTACAAAGAAGAGGATGTAGAGAGAAGATATTTATATTTGATGTAATCTACTTTTATTCCTCTACATCTTTTTTTTTCTCTACCTCAATCTCTGATTATAGGTTCTTACCCCTTATTTCCTTTTATTTCTCACTGTAGTTTCCACATTCCAAATACGGAATGTCATTTGAAGATTCCCTTCCTGAAACTATCCCTTACCATTCTTAATTTCCCTCTCCTTAATTGATTCCCTGTCATTTAATATATTTCTACACCAAATTCTTTGTGTATTAAGTCAATGCTTTTTTGCCCAGTTCAGATGAAAGTAAGGTTCAAGCATACCCTTGCTACCTGTCTTCTCCTCCATGTTTTTGTAGTCTTCTTCTCAAACACCATGATTATGTGACATAATAAGTTCTATTCCCATCTTCCCTCTTTCTTCCATAGTGTATTCCTTTTCCCTTCCTTCCCTTTTTCTTCTTAAGAATATCAAAATGTAACAAAACAGCTCCCAGGTCCTCTGTCCTATATTTAATAATAATGATAATAATAATAATAATAACAACTAGCATTTATATAATGCTTTAAGGTTTTCAAAGTGCTTTACTATTATTTTCTCAAGTTAACCCTCAAAACAACCTCGGGACTCTATGACTCTTGAAGACAGAGTTCAGAAGAGAGACTTTTGTTTTTCTTCCATCTATTAAAATATAAACACTTCATAATTGTAAAATCCTTTTCAATTACTCAAATATATTTACTTTCCAAGTTTCTTATAACAATTGTTTGTGCATTTCAAAATGTCTACTCAGCTTTGGTCACTTTATCAGGAATATTTGGAAGTACTATATTGAATTTATGGTTCATTTTTCCCTGCAATGTGACATGTAATCACATGTAAGATTATACTCAGCTGTGCTGGGTAAAACTGATTGTGTGCTTTTATTTGTTGCCTTCTTAAATATTATGTTCCAAGTTATCCTATCCTTTTCAGTGGCAGTCATCAGATGCTGTGTAATCCTGACTATAGCTCCCTGGCACTTGAACTCTTTTTTTCTTGCTACTTCCGTTTTTCCCCCTTGACCTAGAAGCTCTGGATTTGGCTATGTCATTACTGTGATTTTTTTGCTTTTGAGTTTCTTTTAGGTAACCAGTGAAGTCTTTCTATTTTTACTTTGCCCTCTGGTTCTAAAAGGTCTGTGCCATTTTCCTTTGTGATTTTTTGGAAATATGGCATGTAGGCCATTTTATGGTCAAGGTTTTCAGATAATAACAATAACAGAAACAATATTAATAAAAACCAATAATTTATATCATATTTTAAAGTTTGCAAAACTTTTTACATATTACTTCATTTGATCCTCACAACCCCAGAAGGTAGGAGCTATTATTTTTATTATTATTATTATTATTATCATTGTTCCCACTTTACAAATGAGGTAATCAAGGCTGCAAGAAGTTAAATGATTTGCCCAAGGTTACAAAACTAGTTAGTGTCTGAGGTGGAATGTGAATTTGCTAATATCTAGTCTAGCATTCTATTCACGGCCCCATTATCTGATAATTATTAAAGTCCCTCTCAGTCAGATGTTTTTGATAGGAGATAATACCTTAGGAAATACATTAGACTCCCTGATATTTTTAAGGCTTTCATGTTTGTTCTAATATTTCATGTTATCTCACAGACTCACTAATGTCTATCTGGTCCGATCTAATTTTCAAGCAATTTATGAGTGGTAAATTTGAATCCCCTCTTCTATTTCATTTTTATGTTACTTTATTTGTACATTTTACCCCATCTTTCCTTTTATTTGCTCTACCTCACTCTTAAAAAATATCAATTCATGAGGGATGCAATGTCAAATGATTCAATTGCTGTCCTTTTCTTTCTAATGGCTTGGCACACTTAGTGTCTGTTGCCTCTTGTAGCGCAAATGTAAGAGGAGTTCAAGCTGAGACACTGACATAGGGAACCTGGTAGGAACTTCTATGGAGCACAAGCTTGCAAGGTTTCTCTGGCTCATTGTGACTGGCACATGAAATAGATTTGGGGGATGGGGAACTTAGTAGGAGTTGATTCTACTTCATGGGTTTCTTACTTTTTTTGCATTCAACTATACTTACTACTCTACCTGTGACCACATGAGAATATGGATTTTATTTTTAAATTCATGAAGTAATTTTCCTAAGGCTTTTGGGTTGGATCAATTTGATGAAATTAATTATTCTGCTTTCTTGAAGATAACATGTCTGGTTTTTAAAGTCCTTCAAAATCTGGCTCCTGCTTACCTCTTCAGGCAGATTTCATATTATTCTCTTTAACATATTCTATTTTTTCAGCCAAAATTCCATTACCCCAATTTCTTTGCCTTTATAAATATTTTCTCCCATCTTTAGACTGCATTCACTTCTTACCTCCAAATTCATGTAAACTGTGGCTTTCTTCAAGGCTCAGCTCAGATGTAGCCTGCAATGAAAGACCTATCCTGATTCCCCAGTTGCTAAAACCTCTACCTAGACATTATATTGCATGTACTTTGTGTTTACTTTGCTGTGTATGTGTCCCATCCCCCAGCCCACAAATGTAATCTTCAGAGCACGTGACCTGTTGCTTTTTAATTTTTTTTATCCCCAGCTCCTACTGTAGTAGGTGCTCAATAAATGCTTGTTAAATTGCAATGGCACACATACAAACTTACTAAAAATAAGAGGGGGGGGGAAGAGAGGCAGAAAACAGGTTTTGAGTTTAATTCCCCTAAGGGTGAAACTTTCAGAAACTACACACAAAAAGATACAAGAATTCAAGTCCTGTAATTTGTTGAAATGCAAAATGAACTGCCATAAAAATGCAAAACCATAAACATGGAATTTTTTTTAAAAATTATTTTATTCATTCATTTATTTATTTATTTATTTTTGGGTGAGGCGATTGGGGTCAAGCGATTTGCCCAGAGTCACACAGCTAGTAAGTGTTATGTGTCTGAGGCCAGATTTGAAGTCAGGTCCTCCTGACTCCAGGGCCAGTGCTCTACCACCCAGCTGCCCAGACAGAGAGAGAGAGAGAGAGAGAGAGAGTGTGTGTGTGTGTGTGTGTGTGTGCGCACGTGTGTGTCTGAGGCCAGATTTGCAGGTCTCCCGACTCCAGAGTCAGTGCTCTATCCACTGTGCCACCTAGCTGCCTCAATGGAAGTCTTTACTAAAAGCATTAAGAGGTTCAAAAAATCCAATGATTCATGATGAAAAATTCAAGATCATTTCAATTTAGGATCTTATCCTTAATTTTTAAAAAAAGTACATTAAATAATAGCGAAAAGATTAAGTTGATGAAATGCCCACTTTCTTGCCTTAGACCTCCCAAATAAATTATTTAGCCTTAGTGGAAGTCAGAAGAGCTTGTTCCAGGACTGCCACTTGTTAGCTGTGTAGTTCTGGACAAGTTTCTTAACCTGGGTCTGTTTCCTTGTCTGTAAAAAGATGAAGTTAGACTATATCAATGCTAAAATCTCTTCCACTTCAAAAGTTCTATAATCCCAGTTAAGTGCCAACCTTGATTATTTCCACCAACTGATCCACACCACTGTCCCCTGGAAAGATTGGTTGTCCTAGCAACAGCTCAGCCAATACACATCCTGCAGACCATACATCTAAAAAGAAAAAGAAATAAGGGTTCATTATGGTATTACAGTTAAATTGTATTGAAGCATGTTTGAGAGATATTTGTTATTTCTACTTTTATCACAAATAATCATCAATCAACATCTCAACAGGTTGTATATTTCAAATTAGGAAAAAATCCCAACTTTCTTCAGACAAGCATACTTTTAAATCAAGTATTAAGATCACTACACAAGAAGCCTAGACAATAAAAAACATGAAAAAGTCTACAATTGGTTGGTAGGAAGGTAATGTCAATTCATCATGTTAATATGTCTTGGGCTAGCAAGCCAAACAAATATACTAATATAATGCTGAGAATGGTAGCTGCTTACCAATATCAATAATTGTTATTAAACATTCCAAGGAATAGTGAAATCTATGGTAAATTAGACATTGCCTAAATAGGAGCATAAGGCAGGATCCATAACAGGAAGTATTCAGTTGCAAGTATATCTAATCTCAATTTTGACCAAAAAAATATTTTAACCTTAAAGGGTTGACTGGTATGAGTTAAGCATTAATAGAATTTGTGGGCACTTAAATGATGACAAACAATACAAATGTCAAATATTAGATAATATGAGGATATGAGTATATGGATTCTATTTTTAACTGCCTAAAATAATTTCTATTTAAATCTAAAATTTAAACTATACTTATTCCCTTGAAAGAACAAATAACAGAATCTATATTTTAAATAGCACATAAGTGACAGGAAAGTACTTGACTGATTAGGGTAAGAGGGGTACCATTTCTACATGTTCCTCATCCAGTTTGAAATTCTAATAATGAACTGGGAAGATGAGAGGTCATGACAGCAGCAGGCAGACTCAAAGTCTTCAATAAGTGCCAATACTTTCCTCATTTACTATTGAGGAACCTATATCATAGTGATTAGTTTTTTTGTTTTAACTCTCACTCAAATGGGATCTGAGATCCATTCAGTTCAGGAGGTTCCCTCCAACAATGTAGGTCTTAAACCATCCCATACCTACTCATGCCATGTGACTCACGCCCATGATCTCACAAAAGTTTTCCATTGAATGGGAGCATTCAATGTATTAGAGACCTTTCTTCCAAAATTAGGAGGGTACCACTGGAGTACTTTGGCTGCCTACTTGTCATTTCTTGCTCTTGCCACATGACTAGCACATTTGATCTTCCTACAATACTATTCCTAGATGTTATCTTTTACTCCTATTCTTCAAAGCTGCTCACTCATCATATATTGCAGCCTGTCAACACCCATTGTGTACTAAGTGACACTGATTTTAATTCTTCAGAGGTAATGGTGTTCCAGAAATCTCCAGTAAAATATTAGTATTTAAAATATGGGTCTTTGTTTTTATGGGAAGCTTGAGGCCAGTAAAACAATCTGGCAATTTCATGAAAGAAATCCAACCTATTTCTTCCTCTATCTACTCAACCTCAGGCCCAATTTGTTGTCCATTTGTGTTAATGCAGACATAAACACTGATGGGCAAACTCTGTAGGGTGTTCATCCAAAAGCATTTTGAAATCTAGGTATTAGACATTCCTCATCCACTTCTTCTTTCCTAGATAAACAGGCCAAACTTCTTCAAGAGATTACAGATCTCATCCAAGGATGGTGCAACGCCTGGGGTTCGGGAAGAGTGGTGATGCAATTAGCACAAAAACAACTGGATGATTAGATTATTCACAACGAACCCTTCTCAACCTGAACTCTGTAGTATCTTCTCCATTACAATGGTGAATAGCTTTCACAAACATATATCTCTTATGTCTCATCTGATATTTATTATTAGAGGGCCCCAGAACAGGGCTATTTCTGTTACTATCACTTCTAAGGAATAATAAATGATCTTGATGGGTGAATGGAAGACAACTTTTTTTTTTCAAAAGAGCCTGGGACATAACATTGTGTCATATCAAACAAATTAGCATTAATATATAACCTTTTAAAAAAATTGATACAAGCTTTAGAAAAATTGCCTTGAGTTGAATGGAGGATGGAATGGAGTGGGAAGAGCCTTGAGGCAGGTAGAACAGTTAGGCGGCTATTGCAATAGTATGAGGACACTTCCACATCTGCTCTCTAGGTGGCCAGGCTTAATTTGTAAATGATAAAAGAGCATACAGAACAGAACAGTACTAATTTTAATTCTGGGGCTAAAATATACTTCTAGGCAATTTACAACTTAGGGTAATTGTAATCAACACCACATTTTGATGATGATGTGGGATAAAGAAATAATAAAAAATGCCCTTTAGCAAATGCTTTAGTAATTTTATTGAATATCTTCTTTACTTAATCTTTAACTAATGTTATGACCAAAATGTACTAAATTCCATTCAAAAAACATCCCCCCCCCCACTCTCTGGTGAGAAAAGGGGAAAGTCAATGGTACTTTATAATCTGTATGAGATCTTAAATAATTAAGAAGTAGTTACATATGGTAAGGTAAGGAAAATTTGAGAATAAAAAAAGTAGAGATGATGTTTAGACGCATGTAGTTCCTTAGCAAACTGTAGATTCCCAGAAAACATATGCAGACTCATTTCATATTCCTTTGACATCTATGTGATGGCTGTAAAGCAACTAACTCCCTCCCACCAGTGACCCTAGAAAATTAGTATATTATTTTATAGTTATACCAAGCAAGTCAAGAAGTACCATATTTATAAATCAAAAAAAGTCAGCTTGGGAAATAAAATACAGATTTTTACATTGAAGAGTTCCAACAAGGTAGACAAAATATATTTTTATTTAGTCAGATAAATGAGCAAAGCAGAATATTCATTAGAAGCTAGATGACCATTTTTATGGTATATCAGTCAGTCCTTTCAGAATGGGGTTGGAAGTCCCTTCTAGTTTTATCATGCTGAATGAAGTTGAAAGTTGACTTGAAGTTGGGAGAGATAAGCTCAAAAACTGACTCAGACACTTACTAGCTGTGTGATCCTAGGCAAGTCACTAAACTTGTCTATACCTCAGTTTCCTCATCTATAAAATGTTTAGAGTACCTATACTATTACTGTGCAAAGTATGCATGCTTTATGTTCAGAACCAAGGCTGAAGTGAAGTTGTGCGATGCAACATGGGCAAGATCTGCCAGAAACATCTCAGATTTATTACGCATTTGATTTTTGATTAATCTTTGGTCACTGTGTGTTCAGAAACCTTTCACTGTTGCCAAATTTTTTCATGACCCCATATGCAGTCACAACTTACAGTTTAAGAAGTCCTGGCTACATCACTGTGATGACTTCAGGGTGATTTCTATAACTGTCTCTAACTACTTGTGCCACTTCCTTCCCCTCCCTGATTTATAATACTTCAAGAAGTTGAGGCCGGAGGGCAGAGTAGGAGAGGATTGTGGAAACTGAATGGAAGCAGCCACCTTCGTGTTTTGTTTTGTTTTTTGTTGTTTTTGTTTTTAGTAGAACACCTGAAAAGCTATCAATCTGGCTGCCAATCTGATTTTTCAGGGAGGATAGTTCCAGAGGGATTATAGTTTACCAGTTCTACTGTATCTTGGAGTACATGGGAATATGTAGTGGTAGAGAGGTCCATGGCAGTAAGTTTTTGAAATGGCCAGTAAGAATCACAGAATAAAAGAGAAAAGATTATCAACCAATGGACATTCGTCAGCTCACTGATGCACTTGAGGGTCCTGAATAATGACTATTATGGCTACATAAAACAAATCAACACTTTCTGAACTGGATAAGTGTTTTACTTTTCTCTGCTTATCTCATAGACACTGATCACATGTGACCTTAATGCAAAGTGTTTAAGTCTTTATTAATCTGAATGTTTTATTTTAATCTAGGCTTTAAAAATCTCTTCTACCTACTAATCAAAGTGAAAGGCAAAATGTACGAATTAATTCTACTGGAAATCAAAACCATTTACCCCCAAAAGATAGGGTTATAAATGCAGAAGAACAAATAAAGCTTAAATATCAGCTCTTAGGAAATCAGTTTTTAGACAACATTCTGCTGCAGAGTTAGAACAATGAAAGAAGACCTCCAAGAGGCAGTGTTGTCTAGTAGATAAAGCATAGGACAAGAAATCAAGAGACTCAGAAATTTAATTCTCTTAGCTGTCAATTCTTGTGAACTCAGGCAAACTGCCAAAACCAAGGATATTATCATTTTGTGGTTAAGATACACCAAACCATGATCTTTTCTTACTAACAGGGGTGCCTGAAAGAATGGAGTGATAACTCCAGAGCACAGTAAAATCCCAATTAACTAGAATGATCAGTGTATGAGCTATTATCCATCAGGTGTCAACTCACAGCTGCAAAATTCCCAATGCAGTGGGAACCAGATTAAAATGCAATTGGGAAATGTTAAACAAAATAAATAAAAAATACAATACAACATTGATGTGCTAACAGGTAGTTTTCTAAATCAATATGCAGGGCAGGGACCAGTTTCTATTTGACACCACTGTTCTAGATCACTGAATTTTCTGATTTTGTGATTCTGATCACAGATTTAGTTCTAGTAGAGATCACTGGGATTACCCATCATTTCACAATGAGGAAACTGAGGTCCTGACATGTTAACAGATTTGTCCAAAGTCATAAAAACATTAAGTAATAGGGTCAAGATTCAAACCCAGATCCTTGGACTTGAAATCCAGGGCTCTTCCCACTACAATAAAGTCAAGTCTACAACAATTTTTCTGATTTCATAATCAAGAAATGGACTCCAATATCTTCATTTTACATATGGAGAGCCACTTTATAAACCTTAAAGTGCTACATAAGTGTTAGATGTTATTATTTTTGTTATTAAGTAACTTATTCAGAGATGCAGCTCTCAGGTCTCCTGAACCCTAATTCAGTGCTGTTTTCAGTGCCTCATCCTATATATCTTTAATCCATAATAGCATCCCCACATCTTTATTCACAGCATTAGGGCACACCCCCCTCCTTATTCTGTTGCTACCCATTAAGACTTCTTGCATTCCTCGCTACCTTTTCTATCTCTC